TTAAAACAGAGAATTATCGAGAAGACGCGTAATGCGATGATGATGATGATGATGAATTTAAGAAAATTTTGCACGGAAACTAAAGAAAAAATTAAAATTCGTTCTAAGCTCAAAACGAATTTGCCATTGCGAAGAGTGATAAAAAGAAAGCGCGCTTGCTGGATATACTTTCACGAAACAGTGCTAACCAACCCTCTCCCCTCTCCTCATACGTACAACTTACTCAAGACTGAGGATGTGAGGAGTATTTGGAGCATATTGAACGCTATTAATCGAGAAATGACGAAGTGCTTCATCGCGTCAATTGTTTGCTTGTCTGCTACCGAACAATCTGGAACAAGTACCATAACAGAGGATAATTGAGGAGATGCAGCAATTATAATGTATTTCACAGAATTCTGAGCGGAAACTTCGAAAAAAAAAACGCAAAAAGTAAAAAATAAAATTTATCCTAAACAAAAAACGAATTTTATTTTATTTTTTACAAGTACGGCTCGGAGAATTCGAAAAAAAAAACGAAAGGAGCGAAGTGCTGTACTGGAACAGTTATTTATTGGTGGTAGTTTCACATCACTCATCAATATTCGCGAAAAAGTCCATCACTACTCATTCCGTTCGCTTATTTACTCTGCTCTTGCAGCAATTAGCAAGGTACCTACACCTCATCGTAGCCAGAAATGAGAATGTTCTTGGAAAGAGGCACTGATTCTCAACACATCAGTGATATTTCGAAACGGCGAAAATTCTCTTAAACGCTTCCGTCAAACGAGCCGCGAGATTGCAATTTTTCGAGGAGACGGAAAGGTCATCACAATCGGAAGCAGCTGACCGCCAGGCAAAATGCAGCACTGGTCAAGGCAATTGTGGCGCAACAGCGGCGGGATGCAGTACAGTAATATTGGGACTATGTCAGATGGCCAATAATAAGGATAGTACGGTGATAGAGCCATTGTCTCCGATCACGAGCACGGCATAGATGCAGAGCACACGCGCATTAGATTACAACCTAAAAAAGAAGATAATAGGAGGTCCAGAAGATAAAAGACTTCCCGGAGAAACAGAAAACAAAGCGAGAAAGAATATCGTGCTCCCCCCGCCTTCGGATAGGACAACAAACACAAATTTTCCAATTAACAATCCAGACCACTTTTCCAACTTCACCGGTTGCTGAGTTGAAAATGGTGACAGAAATGCGAACATACA